AATTACAAACAAACTTAACTTTAATCAACTTTCTACTACGCCTAGTTTACCAAAAACTATTTTGGTTTTAGGTCAGCCACATGTGGCCCAAGGAAAGGAAGGGAAGAGAAATAGGGCAATTGGTTTTAGATATAAAGTTTGGAAACAGGAGAAATAGGGCCAAGAACTTGAAGGCGTTTCTCATTTAGTAAAAGTTTTGTATGTCAGGTCGCTTGCTTCAGCGCTTTCTCGCCAATTTAGGCAATGGTATTATTTTGTAAGGCATTATCATTAAACCTACGTTGTGAAAATAACGTATACTGTGAAAGAATGTTTTGTGATGTATTAATCAAAGCAGGAGATTTCGCATCAACTTAACAACGTTATTTTATGTGCCAAGTTAGTTCATTGAGAGTATTTTAAAACGTACAACCATAACCGTTGCACGATCGTAATTTTTATGTGATATAAGTATGTTTTTGTACTTTAGGAACACACAGTTAGTGTTAGCAGGACTTGGTTTTCAATAATTCATTAACTAGAAAGTCTCACTATTTAGTTGACAACCTGTAATAATAACTAACTGGTTCAAACAGCTTAACATGAGTTATTCTGTTACAAAGCATTGCAGTGCAAATAAGTAATTTTACAAGTGTCAACTAATAGATAACACAGAGTAATCAGTGTCATAAACTAAGCCTTGCCTGGAAGTGAATAATAATATTGAAACAACATAGAAATGACTCAAAGTCATTTATATTGTTTCATATATATATATATGTGTGTGTGTGTGTGTGTGTGTAGAACGGAGAATCTGACAAGTTGTTTATTTATGTTTCTGATATGATTGCATACCTTACAATGCTAGAACATTATACATTTCTATGGCCACAGGAAGAGGCAGTGTCGAAATATAACTAGTTTAATACTGAAAAATATTGGCACTCATTATTTATTAGCAAGTGATTTTCAGTAACACTAAATCGAGAGTACTTACAAATTAAAACACAATAAGTGGCTGCCTTTTTCATTTATTTGAACTTGTTTTAATTTATATTCACCAATATAGTTTTAACTTCAACCGACATTTCTATTTTTAAAGTTGTACGTTACTCTTTCAATTTGTTGAATAGAAAAATAAACAAAAACGAGGAGGTACTTTATGTATCAGCGGCACCTAGTCAATGCAGAATACATGAAGGGAAATGCAAAGTTAATAGTGCAGAACGGACTATAAAATTTAAATTTGTAATCAATAAATACCCCTCAGCCCCCCTCACTCCACTTCCAAAGAAGTTTTAGCTTTACCAACTTGTCATTTTGCACAAATTTATGGTGTGACTAACATAGTCGAAACTAAGTTTAAAATTTGAAGACAATAAAATAAGTAATGTAAACCAAAATTATATCCATCCCATGCCTAGAAGGTACATAAAAACCGCTGCTGAAACAAAAGTTACTGAGTTACTTACTTAAAATTATAAAAAATAACCCTAATTTTGGCAAATCACTGTAATTATATTAGTCTGAGCCAAAGTAGGGATATTTTGTTTTCAAATTTTAAGTAACTCAGTTTTGTAGTTTTGACTTTATTGTTCCAATACTTTTTGTAGCATTAATACTTTCTATATTACTATATCTAACTATGTTACGTATATATATCGAACCATACTTATCTTTATAAAATTAGAAAATCCTTTTATTATACTTGTTTATTTCCTTTTTATTAGCTATATTTTGGTGCACCAGAAATACCAAGCGTGGGGCACCAGTATACCGGGTTCGATTTTATTACTCATCAGGATCTTTACCAACCTACCCACAAATCTAACAATATGCCACAAATAGCACATCGTTACAAGAAAGAAATCATTGTATCCCTGGCCGTAATAGTTCTATGAATTAGAGTAATAAGGTTCATCATTTTTTCTGTACGCTTGTCTGGAAAAGTCACGTACTTACTTAGATGAAAATTCTTTGAAATAGTGAAATTTTTATTCACTACATAAAACACGTATATAGCAGTTTAGACGGCTTTATAAGTACAATAAGCTTTAGTTTTGCTCAGCCAATGCTGTGAAATAGTCATTGTTAATATTTAGACATTTTAAAGATGGTTTTAAACGGGCGATTTTTATGGTCGCCATTATGTTTCATCACGATCCCTACTATTAAGTACTACCGTACTTAATGATAACGTGTGATTCTTCTAGAGCCTTTACAAAAAATATATAACCTGATCAGACGTCACGTTTTTTCCTTGCCAGAGTGCCAATACAAAACACGAAACCTAATCAGAAGATTAGCATGTAACAGTCAAGGCCTTTCCCTTAACACACAAAAAAAAACTTTGTAATTAAAGCCGTAGCAAAAGTCGATCATTAACGAATTTTTTTCTAACGACAACTAAACGATAGTTATTAATTATCAGTAATTGTTAAAATCCTTTCTTGTGTTAACTAAAATAATGTAATTAATAAATTATAATAAATATAATCCGAGAAGCAAACATAAGTTGCGTGATGCACACCGAATGCATTCAGATAACATGTAAAACTTAGAAAAATCTGACTAACGTGGGTCGCCTCTTACCAAAATTACTGTTAATACCACACGACTCCAAAATATAAATTATCCATAATGCACGCTACGTAGATCTAATTTCTAGCTAAATATAGGGGACTGAAATATTCAGCAGATAACATAGTTTGTTCACTTAGCTGCCTCCTTAGTTTAGGTCATCATTTTTTAAGCAGTTGAAACTTTTAAGACTAGAAACAGACGTCATATATGTGATTTTCAAAAAATTTTATTTTCTGGAAGATATTAAAAATTATCTCGCATAAAGGCCAAACTTATGAACCATTGAGAAAAAGTGTTAATTTTTATATTAATTTGCATCTGTATTCTCATTGTTTGTGTTACAAGTTGTTCCAACACGCCGATTCAAACCTCGTGATGTATTTGAAATCCCTCCCTTAACCACCTCAGACTTGTGCTTTATCATTACAGTTATGTAATTTCAACAGGTCTTTGTTGTAATTTCTTACTTTTCGTCCAGATGTTCTTCGTATTCAGGAAGAAGTTTACCCACATTTCAGCACTTCACGTAACTCACCATTCCTTAATTGCATGGGGTGTTTGGATTGGCATGAAATTTGGTGCCGGTAAGTAAATTCTGGCGCCTTTTTGTTTTTTCTTAGGCAACAGCAGTATTTTCTTTTTCAGATATTCTGGACAAAATTTTTAAATTAATGTTTTAAGTCATAGTTCGGTTTTTAATAAAATACGATTTTGCTTTTAGTTGTGCATTAGATGTATATATACATTTTTATCCGACTTCTTCAAAAAAAAAAAACGTTTTAAAAACAAAAATCATAACTATTCCCAGATATATTAAGAGTTTCCTTGTCCAAAAACTAAAATTTCAATACACATTCTGTTAAAGTTACGTGAGTACGACTTCAAGCCTTCCTTGTTCTGTAAATATATGATGTTTTTTAATGGGAAAAAATAAATTAAGAATGATGAACGATTAGCTCACCAAAGTCAAAGTACGTCTGTGAGTGTTTCTTCGAACTTCTTTAATAAAAGTTAATTTTACAGTTAAAAAGTACAGGACTCCGTTCTTGATCAGCGCAATACTTACGTCTACGTCTCTTTTGATCTTATCTGGTATTAGTTGTGATATTATTCAGAAATGTAAAGATTTGTACTAGCGAAATTTTAAAACAGGAATGTACTACAGTTGATTCTAATAATTTTAGGATTTACATTTATACAAAAGAACTGATTATGAACCATTAATGATGCCTTACTTTCAAATAATACTTCCTTGAACTTTGCCGTCATTTCTAGTTTCTAGGCCCGCTTCTAATGTGAACATTTTTGAGACACTTTAATCTGCTAGTGGAACTCTAAGAAAACAAATAACACAAACATTGACAGGAAGAGTGGAAATACATATATAAATATCTCTCGTTACACCGATAAACATATCTATAAACAACGTAGGAGCGTTAAATTGTATTAAGTCTATGCAGTGTGTAGTGCAGAATTAATAAGTTCAATACTCTAATGCTTATCGATATGTATTTGTTTGCCCTGGATACCTCTGGACATTCTTCTGCTTCTCTCATTTCTCCATACTTCAAGAAGTCTCTTCAAACTCACTGGACAAAGTAGGACCAACCTCCCCAGATAAAATATAATTATACCACGAATGTAATAAACAAAAATCATTGCGAAGGGGGATAAAAAAAATATCCCTGAACACCCCAGTTGAGGAAAGTTTCTTTTCTTTAAAAACTTAATTCCTGTCATGAAATTTTCGTTGTGTGTGTTCTCGACGTGGACGAGATTATGTGGGATTTACCATGTGTCATTTAGAGAAGCGTGTGACAGAGCATCTGAAGCCTAGTGGTGGTAATTCTTCAAATATCTGTAAACATGTAGACCAGAAATGTGACGTAACTGCCAGAATCTCCTTTATTCTCACATTTTGTTTGTTGTTGGAACTACATATCTAAATTCTAATCTATTAATGGTAGAAATTCTTTTGGAAAGGTAAGATAACTAATCAGCTGGGTATAAAAAAACTGTTGGCTACCTAGTTATCGTTAACGATTGGAAATATAACTAATCAACTGGGAAAAAACTGAAGAGTACATTGAGAGATTAATGAAAGGAAATATAACAAGTCACTTTAAAGAAAATTATTACAATTAACGGTACTAGATATAACTAATCAGTTGAGAGAAAAGTGTAGGGTACCAAGTTATAGTTAACGGCAGGGAATATGAACAATCAGGTGAAACAAAGATATCCAGGATATATAGTGATAGTTAACAGTAAACGGGATGGAAAAACAGGTTGGAGAAGAATTTCAGATGCCTAATGGTAATTAACAGTAAACGTGATTGAGGAGGGAAACAGGTGGGATAAAGTTTTCCAAATAATGGTAGTTAATGACCCATCTTTCAGATTTTTTGATATTCTAAGAAGTTTTTACAATATGTTAGTTACAGTGTTTCTCGTGGTCGGACATTATGCGCATTCATTTTGCGAAAACATTAGTATAAACAAAAGGTCGCTACATCGCTCATTTTTCTCTTCTGGGCTACAAAAAATATCTAGAAATTAAAAACGGGTACCTAAATAAAACCTGTGAACTACTTTTGTTTTCCAGGTGGACAAAACGCCTTTTTTCCGTTTGTAAACTGCTTTGTCCATATGATAATGTATGCTTACTACTGTCTGGCCGCTCTAGGACCCCACATGAAGCCGTATTTATGGTGGAAGAAGTATATCACCATTATACAAATGGTAAAATATTTCTTGACGATCTACTTTTGTCGTATTATCAAATTGTAGCTTTAAACCTAATGAATTAATGTTTGTCTATGAAAGTATGAATATAATATACATATTTATTTGTTTTTACAAAATTAAATTTTTTTTTATATATACGTATTATAAAATTTGGCAAAATAAGTATTTTATGGTCATTATAGGATTTTCTGAATCATGTAATAAGGATGCTGTATATAATTTCAAACTTTACATGGAGTACGGTGACTCAACGGTAAGACAGGGCATTGTTTGAAAAGCGTTTTTAATGGACTGTATCTGTTTGTCTATGAAGTTTTTGGACGACGTTTCGAGCTGCTAGCGAAGATATTCATCAAGTGAAGATGAAGATTTACGATGAAAGCTCGAAACGTCGTCCAAAAAATTTTCAAATACTGATGCAGTTCATTAATAACGCTTTTTAAGCATACTCTGTCTAAATCTTCTTTTAAGCAAATCTGAGGGCTTATAACGATGAAACTTGGTTTTCGATACACACAATGGGCAGATCACAGATGGCCCATTTTGTCGCTTTGTGTTTTAATAAGAAACAACATTATCACTCTTATGAGATAGTAAGAGTCTCCATAAATTATTCTATTACTTGGTGTTGGAACATTGTAATTATATTTGAGTGACATCTAAGTAAACATCCTATTATTCAATAACATTGTAAAGATTTGAAAATAGTTATTATGGAAATGTTCAATGTAAATTTTAGTAAAATATAAAGTAAAATTGTATTGAAGACCTTCGAATGCTTTTAGAATATTTGCATAACCCTAAAGTAACTAACTTGTTGGATTTTGTTTTTGAAAGCTGTTATTTACATTTCGTTTCCTCTGTCGTTTCTCTAAAAAACGTTCTATCACTTATAATGTTACTAATAAGTTGAATTTCATTCATACTTGTAACACCATGCTTTCGTATGTAGCCTTGTAACATAAATAGTAATGATAATGGTATTCGTTGGCTAGTCTTGGAGCGACGTACGTCCGCGACTTATGCTTTATATTTTACACAGGTTCAGTTTGTGATCATTGGACTTCACGCCGTCGTCCCACTGTTTTTTGGATGTGATTTTCATCCTGGTTTTGCGTACGCTATTCTTGCTCATGCCATCTTCTTCTTGGTAATGTTTCTCAACTTTTACATCCACGCCTATGTCAAAAGGAAAGAACAAGATCATGCTCGTGAGGTCTTGAAGAAGAAAAATGAGGATCATGACCACCATAATGGAACAAAAATTAATGGATACTTAGCCAATGGGTTTGTCAGGTCCGAAAACATTAGTCTGGAAAATGGAACGGTTCTCAGTAGAAACGGTCATAATGATGTGTATCAAAACAGAAATGTACATAACAGAAAACAGCAGAAAGAGGAATGAACATAAAAAAGTTAATAAGTTTTTTAATGTCAAATATAAAAAACAGTTCTAACTATTAGTATATTTACGTTTAAGATTATGCCAGCATTTATTGATTCTACAAACTCCATAACCTTGATAGTTACGTCATTTAATTTCGTTTATTTGCCATAAGGCATTAATGTCTACTCCGATTACTCATTTCTAGCATATAATGCAATATCAACAACTATATTTTAAAGATCATAGGTTGTCCATCAATATTAATTGATTTGTAATTATTATTGTAAATATATCGTATACATGTTCAAGTTAGCTGTATGGCAAGATATTGTTTCTACCTGGTTGTTTTCATTCGTAAGTTAAACAGAAATACTCATATGTATATTTAGTTTTACATTTTTTTTAAACGCCCACTTAAAGATAATGACACATGATAATGAATTCGGAGTCCGAGATAGAAGGTTATAACTGCAGGCAAAGACGTACTACTGACTCAGTTGATTTAGAATATTTTTTTCACAAAATTATCCACAAGAAGAAAATTTGTTTAAAAGTCAGAACAAACTAGTATTTTTGTAAGTACATTAAAACAGGTTAGTCCTTCTCCTTTACCTTGTAACGTGTTTCCCGCTCTTTAACAAATGCTTTTCAATCTGTGTTAGAAGGGTAAAGTGGGTCTTAAAATACGTCCCGTGATATGAAAAGTAAATTTCGTCACCGTACTGAAGCGCTACTCTTGTGTTTAAAACCAGCTTAAACCAGTCACTCTTCGGTGATGCCTTTATAACCAGTTCCACTTATCCCATTCGTTTTTTCGACTTCTCTTACAGAAATAAACTGTAGTAAAAGTTTCAGGTCATGTAGCAAGTGGTGTTTGTTATCTAAAATTGGTACTGATATAAGTAGTGATAACGGTAAATGTCTGGAATAACTAACTATCTGATCAAGGTTACAGTTTTCGTGACAAAATGAGCCAATTTTATATAAAAAGAAGGAAGCAAGTTTAATTACCATTTATATTTGGGCTACAATTACTTCGAGCCCCTCTAATTCCTTTACACAGCTCTATTAATTTTCTTGCTTCAGGTGTTACTGGTTAATTTTAGCATTATTGTTATTATTGTATCTAAATGCTACCTACAATTTCACAAACTCTTAAAAGAAACCTCTGACGGTAAGGGCTCTGAATAAACATCAGATTTGTTAACAAACAATTAAGAATTCGAAGTATCGGCCCGGCATGGCTAGGTGGTTAGGGCGCTGGACTCGCAATCTGAAGGTCGCGGGTTCGAATCCCCGTCACACCAAACATGCTCGCCCTTTTAGCCGTGGGGGCGTTATAATGTGACGGTCAATCTCACTATTCGTTGGTAAAAGAGTAGCCCAAGAGTTGACACTGCTAAATTAGGGATGGCTAGCGCAGATAGCCCTCGTGTAGCTTTGTGCGAAATTCAAACCAAACAAATAAACAATTCGAAGAATATTCCCAATTTGCACTGTCATCTCATATTAAATCACACAGCTTCACACGCAGTTGGAGGTTAATCCTTTTTATCTCAATGAATCGGAAAGTTCTCGAATGAAAAATTAGCAACAGTCTACAAAGCATTAAACCATTGGAAGTTTTCATAATCTCCACTTTTTTAAAGTTAGAATCGGTGTTTCATATTTAAATGTACTTAAAGATTTGACTGAAAAATCACACAGTGATCGCTGTGGTACTAGTAAATCGAAACCACGGAAAAAACAGAAGAAAAATTTAAATCGCGAGAAGAAAGGCTCCTCGGACCTAAGCGTGTGAACATTAAAATACATCTTCTTGTCATTTGTAAAGTTTTTCTCCTCTGGTATGTTGCACTATCAATATCCACCTCTTTACACACACTGTTATAATGAAGAACACATTATGTTTTCTTCACTTTTGTATACAACTGAAACGTGCATGTCAGATCCCATGGCAGGCCACTTGATACCCGCTTTGTGTAAGAAAAAACTCGAGAAAGACATTGACAATATGTTATAACAGTAATGATATCATGCCATAGCTAGAGCACAGAAAACTGACTATTCCTGGACTGTTTTAAATGCAGTATAAACGTAACGGCTAATCAAATTATACGAAATGAGCAAATGGTTATTAAGTAGTTTGTCTGCAAATAATTTAGTTCATTTCTTCACCAACAACGTTGTGCTTATTAACTAGTTGTTGTTGTTGCACTAGAAGAAGATTCTTGTTTAAATACTTTGTAAAGTAAATATGAACACTAAAACATCTGTCGATATGAAACTCTAAAACATTGTATGCGATTATCTAGTGCACCCTAATATAAAGCTTAAAAAAAACAACTGCTGACTGGTAATTCCAACAACAAATAGTTGTAGATTTAAGGTTTTACAATTTTATAAGGTCAAAGAAATTTATTTGGAAATGAATAATTTTCAAATATTTTTTGTATATTTTACTTCAATATATACATAGATAGCTCTTAAACTTGTTTTTGCTAAATTAAAAAGTAACATTTTATCATGGTTCGAGGGTTACCAAAATATTTCCATTTCCAGGTTTAAGGGTTACTTGACAAATCAAACAATTCTAGCCAGACAGGATAAAATTAAATCATATTCAGAAAATATGTTATTCTCTTATTATTCCGTGTTGTATTGAGTATGACATTCTTCTATACTTAAGCAGAATGCGGTTCTATGTTGTTTTGTTACATGTCCTTTTTGCAAGACGTGGTTCTATGCTTTTTTTAATACTCTTTGTATTATTAAAGCATGACGCCCTTAAATTAATGTTTGTTTTATTAATCTTGGTGCCCCTCAGTGGCACAGCGGTATGTCTGCGGACTTACAACTCTAGAATCCGGGTTTCGATACCCGTGGTAGGCAGAGCACAGATAGCCCTTCTGTAGCTTTGTGCATAATTAAAAACAAACAAATTAATCTTGCACTATTTAAACCGACCTAGGTTATTTTGTTAACCATGTATTATTTAAGCATGACGCCTATCAATGTTTTCTACTACCCTTACATTGTTTAAATATGACATCATTCTAGAGTTTTTTAGTAACCCAGCATTGTAAAGTATGACGCTTTTCTATGTTATTTTGTAATATCATTAGCATTACTTTGAATACGAAGTCCTTCTATTGGTGTATGCAATATTAGACGTCGACCTAGACTTACAAACATACGTAAGAAAAACTCCATCCTTGATAAAGTCATAAGATTCGAAATAACGTAATAGATCAATACAGTTTTGCGTATTATAAAATATAAATAAATGGTTCAAATCGCTGTAACAGAAAAAGTATTATATGGTCAACATTTCGGCTAAACGATATCCAATGCGAAAGTCATTTGGTCGAAACTTTGACTACATATATTCTCGCCTTTAGCCTTTATTTATATTATCAGAATTTATCAAGCTGTAGCTATATATGTTTGTTAATCGTTATTTGTTTTTCATAATGTTAAATAAATTAGCTAGTTGCATTGTGGTGGTATTGTTAGACAGTCATTCTATAATTGCATGCTCGCTTACACATTAGATATCGTATATAAAATTTTAATTAATTGTTTTGAACTAAGAGATTTAAGTACATATTTCAATTAAATCAATTATTCATATTCTTTTAATTTTTCTCTGAAAATGTCTAATTGGGTGGTTTCCAGAGTATTACATCTTTCAAGTATTATCTGGGTGATTTTTACGTAAAATGTTTATGATCTGTTTTTATTTTCCTTCAGTTTCATATCTTTATATTGAGTAACAACTTTGGGGAATTATATAGACTATGATTTCATTTGACTACATATTTTGTTTTGACATCACAAATAAAGCTGTACCATTTGTAATCAGTCTTCTGAAGATATATCGGCCTGTATTGCCAATCGTAGATACTATGTAGAGTATTAATAATGAATAAATATTTTATATAGTAACAATTCCTTGTTTGTTTATAATTAACTAGGTGATCAATAATTGAGTTTTTCGATAAGAACTGAACACCATAACAAAATTCCTTTGATAATAGATATTGACATCATTTAAAAGGATCAATACAGCATGTTAATATTATAAATACGTATACACTTTTACCTTCTATCGTATACGGAAGGGAAAGAACATTGACATTATCTGGATGGGTTAATACAGCATGTTAATATTATAAATACGTATACACTTTTACCTTCTATCGTATACGGAAGGGAAAGGATATTGACATTATCTGGATGGGTTAATGCAACTAGTTATTATTATAGACAGTACACATGGGAGTATTTTGGGGTTTTGATTTTGAGAAGTTTATCACTCAAACCACAACTTGTTACGTCATTACTCTTGCTGATAACGCACCTAACAAGTTTGTTTTCATTTATAAAATCAAAACAGGTTTTAATCTAAAAACACTAAACCAAAACTTTCGGATAATGATGAAAAAAAACAAATGTCATACAGAAACAAGTTGTAGTTATAACAGACTTTGGTATACATTCCGTGAAACATGATGATATAATAACTAAATTATTTTGCTCACTTAACTACATAAAACACCACACAAATACGTGTTTATTTTCGTTGCTATAAAGCTACGAGTAAGAACTTGTTAATTCTAATAGAAGAAAGAACGGGCATTAATCTGTTCATTATCATCAGCTGATTGTAAAGAGAAAATTGTGGCTTTGAAGCTAAACACTAGAACATTTTTATTTTAGCCATCATTACACTAGTCTTCCCAATTGAGAAAATTAAAAAGAGATTTCATTAACAAATTTAAGATATTTTAAGAATTATGGTACACTAATGCTTTTTTCATTAGTTGTTTTTTGAAGTTAAACACAAAGCTACACAATGGGCTAACTGTGCTCTGCCCACCACGGGTATCGAAACCCGGATTCTAGCGTTGTAAGTCCGCAGACATACCGCTGTGCTACTGGGGGGCTTTTTCATTAGTAAATACAGATGTTTCTATGGCAATATTACTCATAAAGTTACCAATGTTTCACAATAAACGAATTCTTACAGGCCATATATTTTTTATTTGACAACAGACTTGTACAATTCGGTCAACAT